GTATATTAAGTCTCACGTGTAGGAAAAAAAAAAAAAGAAAAGAAAAAAAACTCCGAAATGACGCTAAAAGTTGTTTTTTATTTATTTTTAAGAAGGTTCATGTATACTTTTGTCTTTTTGACCGAGGCCATTTTTAACCATCAAAACTGATTTGATGTAAACCGAGTAAAAGTCACGTGTGCACAAGAAAGAGGAGATGATCACCAAATGATTGCAGATCGAAGAGATACTATTCGCTCCGATCGAAGAAAATAGAGAGTCGAGCACCCCGGACCAAGTGTCCCAGATCCAGGAGGACGAGGAGGAGGAGCCCGAGCCGAGGGAGCCCGTAGAGGAGTACCCCGAAAAGCCGCGAGACGAGAACAGCGACATCGTACCAAACACCAAACTCACCGACGAGGAGATAGCCCTGTTGATCCTCGACCAGGAGGAGGTCCTCACCGACAAGGGAGTCCTAGGGTAAGACCCACCACACACACATACACACCCACACTCGGGGCACAATTTTCACCTCGCTTACTTACTTGGGCAAACGTCCCCGCACAATGTCCAGCGTGAACTTCAAAAAGCTACGTCCCCGCGCGCCCCTCCTCAAGGAGTCCAAGGTATTCCAAGAACTCGTCAAGGAGACCGAGCAAGCCCCGGTCCAGGAGCCCAAGCACCAGACCACCTTCCTGCAGAAGCCCGACCGGCCCGTGCCCTCCGCCAATCGCTCCCGCGCCCAATCCGAGGAGTCCAAGCAGCCGGAGCAACCCGAGCCTTACCGCGTGGTCATCAAAAAGCAACCCAAGAAGAGCGTAGCCGAGCGCCTCGTCGAAAAGGGCCTGCTCGAACCATCGCGCGTCAAAACCCCGGAGCCAACACCGGCACCTCGAGCGCCCGAGGTAATTGACGAGCCCGAATCCAGTCCCCCCGACTCCCCCACCCACGAGTCCGACTCTTCCGAGACCCTCCTGCTACTCGACTCGCCGTCGTCGTCCCTGTCCTCCCTGTCCGTGCCCCTGTCCTCCGAGTTGTCGGTCTCCGACTGGGAGTACCAGCCCGAGCCCCTGCCCGCGTTCGAACTCGCCGCCCCACCCCGAGGCACCTGGACCCTCACCTCCTACGTCACCGAAGTCATACTCGCTGCAACAAACGAGCCGCAAATGCTGCCCATCAACGAGTCGATAATGGAAGAGTCCCTGTACGAGGTGCCAGCCAATAAGCCGCCGAGCAACAAGAGGACGAGACTGTGCCGCAGGGGCAGGTACGCCAAGCGCTGCCTGGACCGCGCCCTGGAGAGCCTCAAGAGCCCTGCCCGCGCCGGGCCCACCACCAAGCCGCGGCTGCTGCGTCGCGGCCACTACTTCGAGCGAATCGTCGGGCGCGTCAAGCAATCCCTGGGTGGGAGACAGGAGCCGAGCGACGAGAGCTTCCTGCGGGTGCTGATGCTCGCCTCGTTGGCCAACAGCTTGCGCGACACCTACGACGCGGAGATACTCCACCGGGGCTCGAGCAGGCGCAACTCGAGGCGGCTGTCGGCCTCGTTGGCTTGCAGGCGCGACTCCAACGCGAGCGTTTGGCCGATCGAGAACGGATTTTACGCGTACAAGCCGGGCAGCGTGTACAAGGAGGCGGACGGGGCAGGGTTTTCGAGGCGTTGCGCCGAGGGTAGGCGCCGGTTGTCCGTCATGTCGATGCTGGTCGCCGACAAGGTTGGCTCGGCCATGCGCTCCGACGTGGCCAGGGGTGTGGCTTACGCCCTCGTCCCCTGCGCCTCGGCGCTCGCCTTTTTCATGTACAACTACGTCAAGCGGATCAACGAGCGCGAGTGATGCTGTCGAGGGGGGGGGGGTCTGTTGGAATTATATATATGTACTTAGGAGGGAAATGAATCTTTTTTTTTTTTT